ACAATTAAACCTATTTACCTCACTTATATCTATACCATACTCCATTTATTTGTTGCTCCTTGCTTTTCTTTAATTTTTGCCTCTATCATGGCCTTGAATAATCACCTCCTTTCTTTTAAGTGGCATCTCCTCAAATATAGTGCATAAATTTGAAAAAAAAACTTTCCGTATTTCTTGGTCCTCTTCCTTTGTCAAATAGGAATCCAATACTTTTACCATAACCGCCTCCACTACCATTTGCCTCCTTTGCTTGATGACATCAATGATAAGCTCATAGAAGTTCTTTTTTGCAATGCCAAGTGCCTTCTTTAAGATGAACTCAATTCTTACATCAAGAATTTTTTCTTCAAAAATATCCTTCATATCAATAGAGCTTTTGATGTCCAATTGAAATTTAGAGGAAGGATCTTTACTTTTAAGCTTATTTGAGTTTTTTTTTTTTTTTTTTTTTTTTTTTCCTTGTCTTTTGCTCGATTGTCTTAAGTTCCAATTCTGGTCTTTGGTTGAGATGAAGGCATTGCTTGAGCTTTTTGATAGGAAGGACTTTTTCATCTTTTAATAGACTCATTATCTTTTGATTACTTCTTCTTATTGGAGAGCATTGTCACATCTTCTTGAAAGGATGTAGTCTTCTTTTCTTCTACAATAGCATCTTGATCTTTCAAATCTTTATAACTACTTAAAAACAATTTGATACTAATAGCATCAAGTAGGTCATTTCAATTTGTTGCCTTCCTAATAGCTTCACACCTTTGGTCAAAGCCTCTTTTGGTGGCTTCAAGGTAGTTACTATGCCTCCAATCTCTACTTCAATGAGATAAGACTTGGCCTCTCTCACATGTAATCCACTTATTCTTCCAAAAAATTCTACTATAAGATTTTTTATACCTCTTCTTCTAAAATTGAGTTCTAAAGATTGTTCCGTAGCAGTGAATGTAAGTCTATCTTCGTTAAAGAAGATAACTTCTTTTTCCAAGTCCTCATCATAATTGAAGCAATCTTTCTTTTCATATTCAAAACTATTACAATACATGCACTTCTTAAAAATTCCTTTGATCTCTCTGATACACACATAGAAAAATCTTTTTGCTTTTCTTTCAACTCACTTATCTCTATTTTCAATTCTTTCATGCCTTTAACTAACTTCTCAAGGATATCTTTGAAAAAAGTCTTATATATCTCTTAGATTGAAATAGATATGACTAGACAATAGAATAATTGGTATTATAGATGATAGACCTTCATGCTTCAAAATCTCTCTTTTTATTTTCATCTACTATTACTTGATCACTAATAGGACTGCATCCTTCACTCTCCTCTACTTATTAGTTAAATATTTCTTAGAGGAGTTATCAACTAAGAGGATAAAAACCATATCTCTTAGTACTTCATCTATTACTTGTAAGAAGAGCTTGATCTTCTTTGCATCTAATAAAAGTCTCTATGAATATGAGAGTTGAAAGTTTTTTTTTAAAATTTCCTAAGCAACTTATTAGAGGCTATAAACTTCTTTGATTATTGTTCAACCTATTCCAAAAACAACCTCTTTGTACCTCTATCCAAATCTTCATCAAAAAATTTATATCTTAATCTCTCTTCAAAGTCACTCCAAGTTTCTAAATTATTTCCGTGAAAATCCTTCACTCTCTTTCTAATTTCAAGAATGCATGCCAATTCAAAACTAAGAATACAATGAAACTTTGGAACTTAATATACCTCCATCTTTTTGATATATGCTTATAAAAGCTTAGTGATGTTCTTTCTATCAAACCTCATATGCTTGTTGTCCATGCCTTATAATATCTTCGTCACATCTTTTTTTCTTGATCATATCTTTTGTTGTCTCTTCATGAACATATTCAGAGCCAAGAGCAAATACTTGGTACTTACTCCCTCAATATTATTTGTACCAGCCCCTCTAAAATCACCCATCATCTTCAAATATCAAAAATCTTTCACTTCCATCTTTTTAACTCATGAACTCTTCTTCATGCTTCAAGCTTGAATCTTAGCTCCATAATTCCATTGTGCTTCACTTATACTCCCAATTATCCAAGAATGCTCTGAGTAGAAGTACCAAATTTTTGTCAAGAGGGCAAGCCTCTTCAAGAGAACATAGGATCATTAGTCACAAGTAGATTGTAAGAAGGCAAAATGTTGTCCCAAATGAAATCAAATATAAAAGGCAATTCAAAGGCTAGATATAATTTATAGATTAATTTCTTTCTTACACTAAGATGCATCCAATTTCTAACTCTAATGTCAAATCTAAATCCTTTTTCACTAAAATATCTATAATTTATTTATTTTTAATTCAATCTTAGTAAAATTTAGCTCAATGAGAATAAAAAAAAAATCCAATATATGGCATAAAAAATCTCAAACCAATCTTGAAATTTGCTGCTTAAAAATTCTAGTAACTTTCTTCTACAAATTTGCTTAAATCTCTTTCTTCATAGCTTTATTTCTTATGTTCTATAGCTTGTTGGAAAGCTCAAAATTAGATCTATTTTTTAAAAAATATCAATAGAAAAAATAAAAATAAAAAAGTGGCATAAAAAATCCCAAACTAGTACTCAATCTTCCATCTTGAAAATTCTAGCAAAAAAAATCCTACTTGATTCCAAAACCTCCATCCTAACATTCTTTCAATATCCGCCTTGAACCACTACATAGTTGGGTATCTATTCTAAAAGACAATACTCTCAAGCTCAAATAATCCATTAAGCCAACAACTTCTTATTCTAAATTCTATTCAAATTTGTATATATATTAGTAATTTAAATAAAAATTTATAAAATATAATACTAAAAATATTAGATTATTATTGTTATTATTATTATTATTATTATTATTATTATTTTTAAATTTCAATCTATTATACCACAGGTTGAAGAGATGAGCTTTCTTCTTAAGTAAAAAATGATGAATCTACATACAATTAGATCAAGTTACCTCTTATATCATAAAGGAAGAATTTAAGAAGGTAAGTATGAACAAAAAAAATCCTAAAGCTTTATTAAATGGCTAAATCACCATGGCCAAGCAAACCCTTACAGTACAAGTTTTTTCTCTCTAAAATCACTCATAAGACTTGATTTGACAAGAATATCAAGTTAAGGAGGTTTTTTTAACTTAAGTCTTCAAATCTTAGTTGACACTAATAAAGTCAATCAACAAAAAATTTAAATAGATGAAAAACCACTAAACCAAAATATATTACATATATTAGACCAAATTTGGCACCTGATGCCACATCATGTGAAAAACTTCAAAAGCAACTTTTAACTTGTACATTTGATATAGAAGCCTATAAATTTGTAGAAAGCTTCCATATTGTCTTTTTGTTAATTAGTATATATAGAAACCATATTGAAGCTATTTTAGTCTTATTATTATTATTATTATTATTATTATTATTATTTTATTAAAGAATATTTAATTTTTTATAATTAAAATAGTTATTCTAATATTTTTAAAATTTTAACTTATACTTCTATTTGATATTCTTTTTTCATTCTCAGTTGCACATAGATATATTATTTAAAAAATATATATCTCAATAAGTATTTTTTATTATTAAAAGGACTACAACATCTAAAAAAATTTATAAAATATTGAATACATATTTCATATGTAATATTTTTAGTAAAATTAATAAATTTCAAAATAAAGTAAAGAAATATTTATTATATGTATGTAGACACATTTATAGTATTGGTATTTGTAGATTGCTTTAAATCTTTAATAAATTTGAAACATATTTGAATAAATATTACAAAAATTACTATTATAGGTTACTATTTTTTATAAAATAATATAATTATAGTAATTAAATTTATATCTTTAAATTTAATATGTAATTTTCAAAATTTCCATAAAACTATCAAAGATTTTAATGTAAAATTTGTTTTTATATGCCAATGATTAATTTATTTAAAATTATTTAATATACATATATATCTTATATTTAATATACTTTTGAGAGAAAAAAATTTAAACACTAGTTCCAAATGACCTTATATATTATATTCACAAGCTATAATTATTATTATAAATATACACAAATTTTGATATAACTATTTTTTTCTTTTATTTTTTTAAGATAGAAATTGAATAGCTTATTATTGAACTTTATTATCTTATTTATTTATAAAAATTTAATTTTTTTTAGTAATAAATACATATTAAAATAAAATGAATCTTTGAATTGTTCAAGTAGATTATTTCATATGAATGTTTTGCATGTTATATTATTAAGAGCAAGTTTATTTATTTTTTAAAAATCTAAATAAAATATAACTTCTATAGTTTTTACTTTTTATTATTATTTTTAGCAAATAGTCACATAATGTTTGAATTAATTTGAAAGACATGTAAAAATGACTAAATTAAAGAATATGAATATGGTTGTTTTAGAAAAAGGCTAATACTAATGCTACTATAGCTTTTGCTATTGTTACAACACCTTGTGTGTTCAATATTTGTTTTAGTTTTAGTTTTATGTTATTTTTGATATTTTTTATTAATATTTATAAATTTTATAACTATTATTTATAAATTGGAATTTTTATTTTAAATAATATTATTATTTCAAAACTTTTGAAATATAGTTATAAGTACAAATAAACAATAAATAAATTATACTTCTTAAAATAGCATTGATAAAGGATGTCATGTGGTGTATAACAAGTTTAGGTGGTAATGGCAAAAAATATGGTGGCATATGATGGATTGTAGATTGCGGTGGCAATAGCAATAACTATGGTGACATTTGCAATACCTCAAAAAAATATTAGAATTTCATGATCAAAGCAATTTACAAATTCTTTGCAATGAAATTACTTAAATATATATATATTATATAGTAAAATTAATTCTACAAACTTGTTGTTTTGCAAAATCAAAAATTTATATTTTCTTAATTTCCTAGTATACTTGAATTTCAATAAAGAACTTATTTCAATGTTCAATTATACAAAACACTGAGAAAAAAAAATAAATACAAGATAATAAAGTACTGCATTGGTATGAATTTCATACAAAAAAAAGGACTTATTTAGGTTAAATGCTCACTTATGTTCAAGTCCATTAGAAGCTTTCCTATGCAAAAATCAAACAAGAGCGAAAGTTTAAGAAGCAAGTTCCAGGTGAACTAGAAGAGAATGATGAAGTGTCAGGGAATTTGGTGGCACACAGAGTGCAACATGTGGAATTGGAAGTGCAACAAGAGCACATGAAGACCCAAACCTTGGAAAGGAATGAATAGGGTTCAGGGATTAGGGTTGCATGGAGAGCACCTTTGAGGTAAAGCTTCAGGTGAAGCAGCTGCAGGAACTCATGCTGCGTGACCCACTGATTCCCCATAGACATGAGCACACTATGACTTTACCGGTGCACCGCCGCTGCATGCTGTGATCCCACGCGTCGTCCGCTTTGCAAAGCGGGAAGATGGAATCCACCATTGCCTTCACTTTCCCCGCTCGCATCAGCTCGACAATAGTCTCCAAATCCTCCCCATTATCCATCATGTAGAAGTTTTCGAATCTATGAGGGCTTCGCATCGATATTCTGTTGAACATGGCGGCGATGATGCTAGCCCAGGTGGGCGTCATGTCTAGCACTTTTGCATCAGGTTGCAGCTCCGCGGCGAAGTTGGACAAGGGGACAAAGTGGGCGCAGTTCAGGACGATGTGGTATTTTCTTCCTGAGGGACTGGTGTAGGTTGCGCCTTGAGGAGTTCGGTAGTCTAGCACCTCGTCGGCTGCCAGGTTCCTCATTAGCTCCATGCTGCGATCCCCCGCCAGCTTTACGAGCTGAAGGAGGATGATGCCCACGCCCCCCGACGCGCCGACAATCAGAACGTTGAGGTGCTCGCTGCCGCCTGCGAAGCTCTTGATGCCCATTTGCCGGGCACTTTGAAGCGCTGTGTAACCAGCCACCACGGCCGATGCGCCTTCCGATGCTGATACCCCTGGTGGCGGCACTACTGTTCTTGATGCCGATGCGACAGCGTACTCCGCAAATCCTCCCCCCTTCTGCTTATATCACCGTCAATAAATAGAAAAATACCTCACCATATTCATAGACTCGATTCCAATGCATGCGAGAAGAGCACATGCTGAAGCTGATGTGTTTTGGGTGCATCTACAATGAGTGACGGACTCGGTTCGCAAATTGGAGGCTCACTAGAATGTGGATGTACGCAACGAACTTGTTGCCGAGGTCGAATCCCGTGACGCCAGGGCCCAAAGTAACGACCTCACCTGCAACATCAGTGCCAGGGACAAATGGGAACTTGGGAGGAAGAATGTGCTTCATAAAGCCATCCTGGATACGCCAGTCCACCGGATTGACGCTGATCGCCTCCACCTTCACCAGCAGCTCGCCCGCCTTGGGCTTCGGAATTGGTACCTCCACGCACTGCCACCCCAACAATCGCTACATTCTCAGCATTCCGCACGTTCCTCCGCATAAGATTAAGCGCCATGATAGACGTCACAAATCAACACAATGCAACGATATTCCACCTAGCATGTTCTGAAATGTATGCATTGACGTACAAAATCGCGCCGAAGTATGTCTACCCAATTTAATTGAGGATAAATTGCAAAGCAGGGTGTAACCATTGAAAGAAGCTTGCCTCCAGTGTCTTACTGCCGCCGTGGTACGTGGAGTACTGCACCTGCCTCATGGTTGCTGATTCCATTCTCTTCACTCAAATCACGGAAAGGACTCCGAGCACTTGTTTTGCAGAGGAATGAAACGGAATGGATTTCTTTGCAACTCCCGATCAAGCAAATAGTTAACCCTAACCTCCAACAAAGTCTCCACACCAGCGTCAAGGAGCGAAAGCTTGTTTGAATGTAGGTATCCTCAACCACACTCGGATGGTAGAGACTCTTCTGTACTGTTCACGCAACAATGACGGTTTTGAGAGGTCTGATGCTGAATTTCTGAACACGGTCAAGCAGTTTCCAGCAGGTGTCTGTTCGAGGGCCTTACAATGAACTCAGCCTCAAGAACAGGCAATGAAATTGCTATGGTAGGTATGTTTATGATGACATGTTGAATATGTGTGTGTATATATATATATATAAGGACTTGTTAAAGCCACCCCAATTTCATTAAAGCCACACTCCCAAATCATGTGATGGTTAATTTAGTCCAATGTCACTCTACTCCATGTGGTGTATTCATGAGTATGGCTTGATATGGATGACTTGGATCATTATCTTTCATGAGTGCAAAGGGTAGCTTGTCATTTGTGCCCAATCATCTCCTCTACCCAAGACCCTTCTCACAAGAATAGAGAATAGTCTTGACGAGACTATTCTCACAAGAGAATAGTCTTGGATAGACTCTTCTCACAAGAGCAGAGAATAGTCTCGTCAAGATTGTTTAAGACTCTTCTTTGCCAACATTAGGGCTTGGAAGGGTGGATTGGGAATGTCCTCCAAGAAGGCCCTTGCAAGCATTTTTAGAAAGAAGGCACACAAGATTCAAAAGCAATGGCAGTATGTAATGGTTGTTCAATTGGTGTCAATCATTTCAAAAATTATGCATTTTGCTTTGTCATTTTTATTTTATCTCACACCTCATAACAAAATGCAGCTTCATGGACCTTAGTTTAAAAAAATATTTTGTAATATATGTTTTGTCAATTTGTCAACTTATCAATTTTTAATTCTAAAACAATTTATGACTAATTCATGATCTAGCTTGTTGATAAACATATTTAAAATAATATCATGTCAAAAGATATTTAAATATATGTACTCAAAGTTTATGTTCACTTTATGAAGTTGGCATTTCAAATTCATAAAATAAATCATGATTAACCATACATATGCCATGGACATACATTTGCAAATCAATAATTACTTATATGATTTAGATAATAGTATGTAAAAGTAGGTGAATTTTATAATATCTTCTATGGAAGCTTTATAGACACTGCTTTGACTTTATAGGTATCTTTAATTGACTTTTTAGGTTAGAAACATGATCAACAAGTTGGCCATATATGACATATGTTGGTAGCTTGAAGAACAAGCTAATTATGTGGTCCATATGTAGAAAACTTGTCTTGTAAGCTAAGGGATGTGTCTTGCAAAATCAACACATATTAGTGGTCCTATAGAACATTGCCACGTAGCTTCTAGTTAGATAGTATATATAGAAGTAAGAGTGAAGCCCTCTTCACTCTTGTCAACTCTTTTCTTGCTTCTAGTCTAGATTTAAGAGTCTCTAGTTTCCTTGTCATTTAGCAATAACTATTCCAGTTTCTTTTTAATATACATACGACTTTATTTCTATTTTTTCACTTTTATTTTAATACAAATTTTCCAAGTTTATGCATCTTCTTCTAGTTCATGTCCTTGATAAATTGATAAGAGTATACTAATAATATTACAGCTTTGTCTTCTCTTGATTAAAAGTGGATTATTTCTTTTTTTTTATAAAACATAAGCATATTAGAAATTACAGATTACCCTCATCTAAACTAGTATTATTCTTAGTATCTTCTTTGTTCTCAAGTCCCCTCTTCTACTTGTCTTAAGTAATATTAGACATTTTTTTTCTAAGTATTATTATAGGAGAGCTTTTTGAAATGAAGAGTGCAATGGCACAAATGCAAGAGCAATTGAGAGAGTATATGCTTGCGATGTATCAACTTAGTTTACTACCACAATGAGTAATAAGAATGGCAGGAAGTGAAGACATAGATATGATTGAAACTGCTTCAACATTTGCATCCAATCATATCCCTTCTCCCACAATGGAACATCCTTCTAGTACTAGAGAACCAAGAGTTGCCTTGCTTGAAAAGTTTCATGGCAAAAGATCTAAATTTTGACGATTTATCAATTAAGTACAACTTGTGATTGAACTTCAATCCCAAAGCTATCGAACTCTAGGATCACAAGTTAGATTCATCGGTACACTTCTTTCAAGTTTAGTATTATCATAGTTTTTATCTTTTTTTGAATGACAAGCTCTAATATTAGATAATTTAGAGGCTTTTTTAGTAAAGTTTTGATCCATATATGAAAAACATAAAGCAACTCGTGTTGCAACCAACAAGATCCATATTTTATGATAAGGCAATTGATCCATAATATTATATGCTTCAAAATTTTGATAACTTACAACTGATATCAAGTGGGATAATACTGCACTGATTAGCTAATTTTTTTATAGATTATAATATGAGGTAAAGAAAATGATGCTCAACTTACTTGATCCTTAAACATTGAATCAAGCAATTGACTTTGTTGTAAAAAGTGACAATTGACTTTTCAAATTTTGATCTAAAAATCAAATAAGTAGGCCTCAACATTACTATAATTCAATGAAAACACCAATGCATCCTTAATACATACATTCAAAAGTAGATGATATATAAATTAATGCTATACATTTCAAACCTCTTACTGAGCAAGAAAAGACTTGTCACCGTCAGAAAGGATTGTGCTTATACTATGGAGAATCTAAGCACATTATTCAACATTGTCCAAAGAAGTGACACAATTATAAAATGAAGAGTACAAATATCAAAGAAGACAATATATCAGAAAATAAGTTTGTCTAGCTATAATAGGAACCGTTGTCGTATTACGTGCTTTCCTGCTCGAGAACGCGCCGGGCGTCTGGCTGTAGAAGGTAGTATGGAGATCCGCCGATAGTCAAGCAGTCTATCAGTTTTTACTGCTGGAATATAAACGACTGCAAGAGTACACCGTAAATCTATACAGATGCTCTTCGACTGCTTGTCGAAGTCCTTTTTTTGCCCCAGCCGGTAGGTCTCTAGACGTTACAAAGAACCCCGTACAACCCAAACTGTTAACCTTCAATACTGCTTTGTACTTACGATCTTGTATCCACTGACTGTCTTGTTAGATTAACCCAATAAATTTCATTCACTCCGCATACTCAATCCTATAGACACCCTTTTAATCCTTCAATCACAGACGTAACTCGATTTCACAAAATAGTCAAGAGTATTCAAACCCACTTCATTTAAAAATCCTGATTCACCATTACAACACTGACTTCAGCAGCGATTGCCTCAATCTTCCCCAAAACTCTACGAAGAAGAAAAATCCAAATTCTATGTCTTTCCTTCCCCGACCCGAAGCATGAAGCTCCTCTCTCTAATTCCCTTGATCTTCAAAAACCTCCAATGAAAACCCGATCTGGTAACCTTGCTGAAGCTTGAAAAATCCTTCCCCCCCAATTTCCCCTCAAAAAAAAAACCACACCACTCCAAAACTATATCCCCCCTAACCTTATCCTCTGAATTTCTTCAATCTTCCGTCTTAGATCGAGAATTGGCTCCCGCCGTCAGAGCTTAGATCCGAAATTGGCTCACGTCATCAAGGCCTTCTCCTCCGTTTTTACCTTTAAGAGATCCATTTACCGTAAACAACGTTCCCTGAAACGGCACAGAGAACAGGACAACCCGAAACAGAATCGAACCCCGTAATCGGGACCACATTGAGTCGCCCGACCAATTCAGGTCCTATATTGGTAAAGATGCCTGTAGTAACCTGGATGTTCCCGTAATTGGGTCAAATTGGTCCTCGCGTCAGATTGGCTAAGACCCGTAGTAAGACCTAGATTTCCCGTAACTAGACTGCATTGGGTTGCCCCACCAATACAGGTCTCATATTGGGTAAGAAGACCCAGATTGGATTATCGAAATTGAATCCAATTGGCTCCTCGAACCCGTCGTGTGAATTGGTTCTTCTCTTCCTGCTGACTCCCGTTATTGGAATCGAACGGGGCATTTCAGTATGCCCCGGCTGACTGTAACGGAGTCACTGAACCTGACCACTCAGTATTTGTACTGGAGTTGGTCGATGCTCCATATATTCGAGGTAACTGAATATTAATAAAATTCCCCTTTCTTTTTATTTTCACTGTATACTCGTGTTACAACACGACACCGTGTGGTTGGAACCTTATACAATACTTAATGAAGGTCCTTTTTTCTCATCAAAATCCTTTCTTTGTTTTACATTAAATATTATTTTAAGACTTATACATTACAAAACCTTTATCTTAATTGATTCAAGAGCCTCAATATGTTTTTTAGATGAAGAATTAGCTAAAAGATTTAACATATCTTTATTAATGAAAACTAAACCTGTTCACATAGATATCATAGATGATCGCCCATTGTCTTCTAGAGATGTTACTCATGAAACCCTTCCCATAGAAGTAATAACTAATGGTCATAATAGCTTTGTGGTATTTAATAATATTAGATCTTTCTCTAATCCAATCATTTTAGGTTTATTGATCTTATAAAAATACAATCCTCGAGTAGATTGGATTTCTCGTACTCTTGAATTTTCTAAAAGTATAACTAAGAGTATAATTAATCAAGTAGAAAATCACAAGTCTAATAAAATTAAACCTATATTTGTAGGTGCAAGACCTTTCTTGTATGCTGCAAAAGAAGGATTACCTTATATCATTTATGCTACATCTGTTTCTAATGGTGCAAAGACTTCAAGTGGAGTTCCAAACCAATATTAGAATTTTCAAGATGTATTTGAAAAAAAGAATGCAAATATTCTTCTAGAACATCATCCCTATAACTGCTCAATTGACCTTCAAGAAGGAGTACAACTACTATTTGGATTAATATAAAATTTATCACAAAATGAGTTGGCCAAATTCAAG